AGAATCTGACAGCCCCAGAGGGATTTCCTCAGGAGCTGTTCCAGCCTGCCTGTTCCCACTGCGACACAGACTGCAGAACAAATGTCTGTGAGTGCCCCGGCAGGCAGAGCAAATGGAGACGTTATCAGCAGGACTGTGGAGGGTCTCCTCCTGTCAGGGATTTGAGTGACAGCTCTTGTCCTTCACAGGGTGCAGACTGGCTGAGCCTCAGCGTGGGAGACTTCTGTTCTCCAGCTGGGAAAAGAAACAGCATCCTGGTGGGAAGCACACAGGCTTCTGGGGGCTCTGTCCCTTGCCACCAAGGACCTGGGAGAAGCCCAGGGAGGGATGCTGGTGGGCTCAGGATGTGCTGGGTATGGGTGGAGATTTGGGTGTTGCTACCTAACTGTTAGGTTGCTTTAGGTCTGCAGTGAGTTAAATGTTTCTTTTTCTTGTGTTTCCTGTGATGTCTGGATAGTTTCCTGGGCTGAGGTTACCTGGCCATGTTGGGTGCTCAGGAAGCTGAGCTTTGAAAGTGGCTGCTCCAGATGTGGCAGATGTTCCCTCTCAGTAACAAAGGAGGGGCTGTGCTCTGGCAGGTTCTATCACACTCCCCAGGGCTTTCTGCCCACTGCTCTACCTTGCTTCTCTTGGACCACGTGTCATTTGTTACATTTACCTTTAAGAGGTAACAGTTCTCCTGCATTTTTGAGAGCTCAGCAGTGTAGACAAAAGATCTTCATTAAACAGAAGCCATGTGAAGGATACAGCCTCGAGCTCTGCTAAACCAGCAGTCCAGGTTCTTCTGAGTAGGGTCTGCAGATTACTTCTGTCCTCTCAAGGTCTCATTCATCTCCCTTCAGGTCTGATACTGCTGTAACACAATTAATATTGAACTAGTCCACGGGAACCTTTAGTTTTCATTTCCTAGACACAATCAGGTGCAATAAGAAAGCTGTAAGGCAAGCTTTGCATCTATTAAAGGAGATAATGGCTTTCCCTTATACCTGCCTGGTCAGAAGTGGAGTGTATAGATTTTTCCCTGTCCTTGAGACCTGTTCCTACAAACAACCACTCTATTACTCCTGTAACAGTCTTACTTGCTTGTGGTTAAAGTTATTATATTTATTTGAAAACCTCAGATTTTGACATTTTGTTTGGAGCAGGAAAAAAACCATCTAGCTGGTTGCCGTGAAATTTAGTTCAGACTAAAATATATGCTGTGACTCAGTCTGCTAACTGACCTTCTGCACTGCTCACTGTAATCCAGAATTGCCAGGCAAGTAGAGTAATTAGTTGTGCAAAATGAAATAACTTTAAATCCTTGCATTGAGTAATGACCCAGAAAAAAATCACTGGAGCTATACAATAGAAAAGGCTCGAAGCATCTGGCTTTGTTTTCACTTTTATAGCTCTGCCCCCTTTGATTCAGACACAGGCTGTCCCCCTCACCCTGTGCCTGTCGGTGGCTGCCCAGAACAAATGTTGGTGGCTTAGTTGCTGCTGCCCTAAGAAACTACATCTTGGCATGAAGCAGCAGGGTGGGGCTGCCAGCACGGGCACGGCAGTTCTGCAAGGATTGCCTGCGTTTGATAAGCTCATATCTGCTCAAAGAGCTGCTTCACATCTTCTGAGACAAGCCTGACTGCTGAAAAACTTCACCCAAGCAAACCCAGCTGGGCAGCAGGGCCAGGGGAGAACCTGCACATGCTGCTGGGACACTGATGCCTGTGAACGAGTGGCAAACTGCTTCTTTCCCTTGGCTCCACCTAAATACGCTGCTCCTAATACAATATTTTTGGGAGCATTTATCAAAATCACCCAGAATAAGAGGGGAATCCTCGCAGCAGCCCTTCTCCAGCCCCAGCAAATATGTCACCTCTAGAGCAGGGCAGAGCTGAGCCAGAAAGGCCCTTGATGAGCCAAGGGTGAGGATGCTGAAGCCTTCAGCCAGGCTCCCACGTCCTGCTACCGAGCGCTCGGCGCCAGTGAATTTGGAGCAGGCTTTTGAACTGTTGGGTATTGGCCACGCTGAGAAGTAAGATACAGCCCTTGGGGGAGTATCGGTGTGAAGAAAGTATTAAACTCTAGTGTTTGTTTATGAGCTGGGTAGGGAACTGCCAGATAAAGTTACAGGAGACCTGCCAAGGAGATCAGATGAATCCCAGGCTGTAAAATGGGTCTCGTAGCCATTGTGTTCCCAGCTCTAATCCCTGCTGGCCACAAAAACCAGCCTGCCACCAAAGGGAGGAGACGAAGTGGTTTAAATAAGAAAATGAGCCACTTGCAATACGCTTTTAATTGGATCAATTTTTCCTTTACTACACAATCTTTAAAAACCAAACACACAAGTAAAAGCAGACAAGCTCTTTCTCCAGGTAGAGAGCAGAAGCCAAACTATGGCCTCCCAGACCTTAATTACTTCACTTCACCTCGTTTGGTGGACGATCACAACCTTGTGCAGGGCTACCCCGGCAAGAAATACAGCTCTGCAAAACCATGGCAGGGGACAGCAGGTTTTCTTTTTCCCCCTGAAACCCAAGCCTAGAGGAAGAGCTGCAGGCGACACCCCCGAGGCGCCGATCGCAGTGTCCTGGCCCACCAGTGCCTCGCAGGGTAGTGTTATTTCACTTGAATCTCTTAGAAACAGATGACAGATGCTTTGTTTGAACTGTGTAACGAGGAACAGGCTGGGGTAACCAACTGCTCAGTTTACTGGACCAGTTTTATGTCCCTTCAAGCACTCCAGGAAATGTTATTGCTAGTAGTGTGATGTTTATTGCGAAAAAAAATCCATTGGAACAGAAAACGACAGAGGTACATATTATCATAGATAATATTGCTTCAATTATTCAGGTCCACAGTAGCTTCCTGCTTGGAGCAGCTCTTAGAAAGAGGAGAAATGTTTAACAGACATCAGTAGGAAAGAAACAGCCATTCCCATAATACTGGAAAAAAATGCCTTGAGTTACAATGTAATTAACTGCAGAAGGCCCCAGTAATAGTTGTCATCTCCCCAAAACATACATGCAAGATGAGATCAGCTCCCCAAACTGCTGTTACCTACCGTAGGCAACGCAGAGAATGTCAATAATTACGTGCAGGTTGGTAGCCCTGGCAGACGTGGAGCAGCTCGGGAGGGAAGGGGGGTCAGTCCCCTTGGGCTCCCTCAGCACCATGCTCCTGCCTCAACTCCTGCTCCCTTCCCCACAAGCTCTTCCTGGGGAATTACAGCGAGAGGAGCAGGGGATGGAGGGACACCTCCAGCCTGTGGCTGTGTGGTGCTGTGCTGGCCTCTGCAGCACTTTGGCTGAGTGAACAGGGAGAGAAAACACAAAAATCCCCCCTAATCTACTGCCAGTGCTTCTGCCAGCCCTGTATCTGCCAAACAACTGGCAGGAGCAGCAGCAGCTCAGAAGCCTCTTTTTACTTTGCTGTTTCACTAGGGGAAACTACATGGGAGCTTAAAAAAAAAATCACCTGTTGCATCCATGTTGTAGCACAAGCAGCAAACAATGTGCTGGAGCACGGCAGCCACCATAAAATCAGCTTTTATATTGTCTGTCGTGCCCACAAATTTGCAACCACGTTGTTGATGGCGACAAATAAATGCGCTGCGGTGTAACTATTATCCGTGGCAGATTAACATGCTACCACTGTGCCCTGTTTAAATGCATCTTTCCTTCGATGAGCTACTCTGGGCGAGCAGCACCACGCTGAGGAACAGGTTTCTCAGCCAGGAGAGCAGCACCGAGGGGGCCCTGGTTCACACAGGGGCAGGTTTTTTTGTGCTTCATTTGGCCCAAAGCCGCGACGAACGTGAACTCTGGTGCCGTGAGGAAAAATATCTTGAGGAATGTGGAGTTTGGCTGTGCAAGGGAAAAAAAAGGCAACGCACCAATAGATGTGCTTCCAAGTGTTAGAAAAAATACAAGTGGAACAGTCTCCTCCCCACACCCCCCCCATGCCCATCTCAGCAGTGAGCAGCCTGCACACAGGGAGTGCAGATGAGTGGAAAGCCGCTGCTGAACTCAACGGGCTGGAATGCAGAAAAGGAACATGCAGGTGAACATACAATAGGTTGTATTTAACCTCACTTACTACAATCTCCCAAACTTCCTCCCCTTCACCCCTCCCCAGGATGCTTTAGATAGCAGATACCTTCTAAACAGTTTCCAGGACACATTTAATAGCACAACAACAATAAATATCAACTGTAGTTTCCCCTCTTTTTTTTTTTTTTCCCCTCCATCCTCCTCCCTTTCTACCCCTTCTACCCAGCAGAACTCTTAGTAGTAATAAAACCCCTGTTGCCATCAAAGGGCAGTTTTCTGGCTCAGCTCAGTCTCCCAGGATTGCACACTACTCACTTCACATTGAACAGACACGCTTCACAAATGGCACAAGGGGGGCAATCTCCTGAATGCCAGAAAAACAGAGAGGAAAAACCCTCCCTTGTCAGTTTGGAAGGAAAGCTCCATCTCGGCACAGTTTTAAGAGGGTTATTTCGGTTTATGCAGTGCCACTATCAGAAATTGCTTTCTCTAGTAGTTGCCCAGACAACTGCTACCCAGTTCTGTGCGAGTACCACAGCGAGAAGAGGGTTGCCTCTCCAGTCCTGGAAGGGAAGGTGATTTAGTGCAGTCTGTCAGGGTTTATGGCACAAAGAAAGATTCAATGGTTGAAGCTGGAAGTGGAGGAGATGTGGTGGAAGGAGGTGAGAAGGTTTATGGGGCGACCAGTCATTGAGCAAGGAACCAGTGCTCCAGGAGGATGCATCCTTTCCCTTCCACTCGTTGTTTTTTATTGTACATTTGTTATATAAAAAAGAAGAAAAAGCAGACCACCACCACCACCACATAAGCTATTTTGTTTCTAAACACAAAACACGACGGCCTCCACGCCAACCCCCCTGAGGCTATGGCACAATCTCCCTGAACACTCCACACTGGTTCCTGTCAGATTGCAACCAGGCTGGAGGAATCTCTGCTGCCAGAAGAGGCTTTACCGAGAGAAGTGCTTTAAGGGGTGGAATATCTTCTCAGGTGGTAACTGTAGATCTTGATGCAGTGATCCCAACAGTCCAGCACCAGCAGCTGCCCTTTGGGGGTAATGGCAATGCCGACGGGGCAGGTGAGGCCCTCCCGGATTAAGATGTTGTAGCCCCCTCCTTTTGGGAAGTGCAGGATTTCCTTCCGGCTGCTGTCGGCAACGATGAGATCCCCCCTGGCGTCGACACACATCCCAGCAATGCACCTGAAATCCTCGTTCTCAGAGAAGAAGTGGCTGATCTGCCGTCCCAGCTGCCCATCCGGGCCGACGGAGCCGATTGAAAAGCCTCCTTCTAGGTGGTGCTCGTACTGCCTGTTCTCCAGGTTGAGCCCCAGCCCCTGAGTGAAGTAGATGGTGCCCTCGGCGTCGCAGGTGACGAACTTGGGGCGCACTGCGCTGCACAGGCAACTGTACTTGACGACGCCCACGCCACGGTCCACCGTGAAGCACCAGAGCTTCCCTCCTTCCACGTCAGTCACCACGAACTGCCCCGAGGGCAGAGCGGCGATGCCCCAGGGCTTGCTGAGCTGGCTCCTGTGGCAGGCCACGCAGTGGCCGTCCATGGTGTAGACCTTGACGGAGTTGTCGTAGCTGTCGGTCACGCCGATCAGGCCGTGGCAGTTCATGGTGACGGAAAGGGGAGTCAAATTGGGCAGGTCTGCCCCCAGGAAGCTCAGCACGAAGCTGTCGATGCCGCTGGGGCTCCGGCGGATCTCCTTCAGGAAGCCCTTGCGGGTAAAAACCTGGATTCGGAAGTTGCCCCGGTCTGCCACCAGCACCTCGCCTTGCAGCGTGACGTGGAGGCTGACGGGGAGGTTAAACATCCCTGGCAGGCTGCCCTTGGAGCCCATCTTCCTGATGAAGTGACACTGCTGGATGCTCGTGGCTGCTTCGGGCATCCTCGGCTTGGCCGGTGAGGAATTGGGGGTGCAGCTGGCCTCCTCCTGCACCAGCTCAGGCTCCCGGAACGATGCCGACGAGGACGCCGCGGTTTCCATCAGCGACTCCTCCATGTTCACTGTCCGGGGTTTCTTCACCACCTGCCCGATCTGCAGGGGTCCCACGTGGCTCACCTTAAGGAGCTCGACCTCCTGAAGAGTCAGCTCTCTTGGGAGACTGTTTGTCAGTTCTGGTTCCTCCTCGTCTGCGGCCTCCTCCAAGAGAGCTATATCCCCCTGCTTTATTTTGGCAAGGAAATAGTCACAGCGGGACATTATCTGCACCTCTGCTAAGTTCAGCAGATAAGCTTGCTCCTCCATCACCTGATTATTTACCTTCTCCACTTCAGACAGAGAGGTGGTGAAGAACTTGCGTGACCTAGCCAGCTCTTCCTGGATCTTGCGCTCTTCTTTGCTGTAATCTTGCAGAACTGCTTTGTATCTAGATTGCAGGTCCCTCGATACCCCCTCGAGAGATGCTTTTCTTTTCTGCAGATCACCCATGAGCTCCCGAAGTCTGGCAAGCCTTGTCCCAAATTCCCTCCTACGCTCTTCAGCAGCCTCTTTGATGGCGATGACTCGATGCCCTTGGGGCACGTGTGACGTCTCCTTGCAGGGCTCACACAAAACCAAGCTACAGCTCTTGCAGAAGTGTCTCGGCAGCCTCCTCCCACAGACCTTGCACATGAGAAGACCCACCACTTCCCCCAGCCCAGCTGTGTCGATGATCTTCAGCACCGTGAGATTGTCAGTCAGCTGAGCCAAGCTGGTGATCCGTGTGATTTTGCTGCAGAAGGGGCAGCGGATCCCGTTAATGCTGTTTGCCAGCAGCTTCTCCAAGCACTGTTTGCAGATGGTGTGCCCGCAGTGGAGGAGCTTGGGTCTCAGGTGCTCCTCGGTGAAGGACTCCATGCAAATGGGGCACTCCAGGACCTCTCGGAGGGCGTCGGAGTTGAGATGAGGAGCAGCAGCCATGGCTTTCCCAGGTAGCTTCGGCCGGTGCCCCGTCCGCCACTCGCATCTATTCCAGGGTGCTCCGATTCTGTCCAGAAAGAAAAAAGGGGATGTGATTTATCTCATCGCCAGCCCTTACACACACGTGCAATTTATTTCTGATTTATCACCCAAACCTGCAAAAAAAAAAAAAAGCCCAGTTAGCTTTTCCACGTTTGGAGAGGATGGATTAGTCACAGCTAATCTCAGAGCGAGCAAACTCCCAAACTAACTCGCAGCTCCCAGTGCCATGAATTATTCACTTGCAAAATTTACAGGGAGAACTGAAAGAAGTGTAATGGCAGCAATAAGGAAGCCCAATAGCTATTGATGACTGAATCATCTCCTCATGGTGCCCATCTCCCGCTGCCAAGCCTCTGAGTTTACATAATTTACTGAAACCCAGGGAGATTAAACCAAGCATTCAAAATGCTGTGCATCAAAAGAGGAAGCAGATGGTGCAATGCTCTAGGCCATTAATAGATCACCTCTGGAGACCTGCATTCAGATGTGACATCAGAGACGAGCGAAAGGAATGTGGTGGTTTTACTCAGCTTTTCTAGATAGCCAAAATAAATTTTCAAGGTTTCTTGTGTTTGCCAGAGAGTGAAACTAGGAGGAATGAACAGCTTCCACTCCTTCTGGGAATGACTGTAAATGCTGAAGATGCACAGCCAAGATTTTACACCAGAGTATTCCATTAACCTCTGCCATGCTGCACCACGCTTCAGCCTGCAAACTGAACATGGCCAAAGGAAAGCCAGCACTGCTCTAGCAGGTATTAGCAATAAGGGAGTTAACAAGGAACTCCAACCAGTCCTGACTCTATACTAGAAGCACTCACTATTAATTCCTGAATTTAGCTTAATTGCATACAATTCCTCCTCCTCTTACTCTGGCAGCGTTGACCTCATTCCTGATTCCTGGTTTGCTTTTTATAGCACTGTGGCTGCTGCTCAGCTTCGATCCACGTTTCTCCACCCTCCCATCCCTCCCAGCAGGGAGCAGATCCCAGCAGCTCTCATGCTAAAGCAGCCATCCATTCAAAAGGAACAGAAACGAGGTTCCATCGTGAAGTTATTATTCAGTAGACTGGGTTTCAATACCTTTTGCTATTTCAGTGCTTAGCCCTTAAAGGAAATGAGGAAGAAAACACATCTTCGAGGGGGAGAGGAAGGGAAGGAAGTCGTTAGTCTTTAAAATGATGAGCTGGTCACAGAGGGATGTGAAGAGTCAGCTTCTTCTGAACGATGGCTTCATGCACACAGCACTCTCATGTCCCTGCTGGCTTCCCCTGCTTGATGAACCTCAGGAGCACTTCAGAGCTTCACTGCATTTCAGTTCACTGTTTGCTCAAGTGGAAGCAGACAAGTGCAACGAAGGAAAGTTCTTTATGTTCCGAGGAGAAACAAAAAAAAAAATCATTTCAATCTAACAGCTGCAGCACCCAGCCCTATAAAACCAGCACTTCAGGAAGGATTTGGTGATGTAGCAGGATCTCCACCAAGCTGGGCTGTGGCCCTTGGCTGGATGGTGGCACGTGAGGTGTCACCCCTGGGCATGGGGACAGTGCAGTGCTTGCTGCTGCTGGCACCCAACCCGCTGCCCATTTGTCCTTAGCATGTGTCTGAGCTGGGGAAGCAGAAGCCTGAGTGCTGCCACATAGATCAGAAACCCTCCTCTGAGGGATGAAAAAATTTGTATTTTAAAAACAAAACATAGGATACCAGATCCATTATCCTGTTTTCCTTAGGAATATGTCCAAAGACTCGCTTAGGGAAGGACAAGGGAGCAGCACAGACACCAGATACACCACGGAGTTACATCAAAAGCCACCTTTAAAACAAGCTTTCTCATTAAAGAACAGCAGCAGGGGAGACTGTTCAGTTTTGTGAGGTTCTGTCTCTAGAAGGAAGATTTTGCTACACTCTTTGCACCCAAAAACCCCTTTTATCACCATGCCAGCACGTGCCTTGGGAGCATGGAATTCTTTTTACTGCTGCACTTTTCTCTTTGTCGGGCTCGGGGGTGCTTCCATGGAAGTTTCCTCAGCAGCTTTGTCCTGGCGTGTCGGTCCCTCCCCAGGTAGCTCCTCTGAGGCCGAGCAAGGTACCAGAGAAAGCCTCAGAAACCTAGAGCTCTAAAATTTTGCAGAAGAAGTGAGTTTCGTTTCCTTATAGTCCAGAAATTTTCCTGTCGTGGCTTTTCTCGTCCCTCTCTGATATTTAGTTCGGGTGTGCAGTGAGACAACCGGTTTCACTTTCAACACCTATCTGTGCCAGGAACAGGTTAAAATGAGCAGGGAAAGCTGCTGGGTCTGCGGCAACTTCACCCTACGGTGACTGTCCTACAGCACTTAAGACGGAGATGACAATATCACCGAAAGTGCCACGGTTCAGGGCCAAATTCCAGCCCGGGGCTGGGGGTTTCTGCCCGGAGCAGACGCCGGCGGTGCCTCGGGGCCGGGGGGGGACAGGACGCGGGTTCCGGGAAGGGCAGGGCGGC